CTGCCACCCCCTAAAAGCCCACCAGGCCAGATTGGCCACCTTCACATGCTCACCTGCAACCTTCCCTACCACACGCATTCCCTGTGGGCTGAGCTCTGAACCCCACAGCTAAGTTCTTAACCACGATGCTATTCTGCCTCCTCCAGGTCATGAAGTGTCCTGATTTTTGTTTTAGAAAATTTGGTCACCATAATAGTCACATGTGTTGTAAGCCACCTCAGATCATTTCTTCAAAGAGGAGTACAGCTCTAAAATAATAGTCACGATCTGACCAGTTGCCGGAAGTGCTGTGTTTTGAGAAAGGAAAGGGGGGAGTTCCTTGCTGGCCTGGTGGTTAGGACTCAGCACTTTCACTGCAATGGCCTGGGTTCAATCCCTGGTTGGGGAACTGAGATCCTGCAAGGCGCGTGGCATGGTCAAAATTTTAAAATTTTAAATTTTTTTCGGATTTCCGTGGTGGTCTAATGGTTAAGACTCCGCACTTCCAGTCAGAGGGTGCGGGTTCAATCCCCAGTCAGGGAACTAAGATCCTCCATGCTGCGTGGCACAGTCAAAAAAAAAAAGTTTAAATTTTGAAAAGAAGGAAAGGGGCAGGAATGAGAAGTGTACTAAACCTTGGGGAATTGGGTCCCCTACCCTGGCCTCCTCCTGGGCTCAGCCCTGCTTGCTCTGAAGAGGTTGGTAAACCCTCTGCATCCACCAGGTTAGGACAAGATCTTGTTGCTAAGAACTGCTCAAGGGCCAAGAGTATGCTCTGGACCAAAGAGAAAAGCCCATCACACCAGGCTAACATCCCCCCCCTTCCCCGTGCCTTCATCCCTCACAGTATGCAGCTGACCCCCAGGACAAGCACTGGCTGGCCGAGCAGCATCACATGCGGGCAACAGGGGGGAAGATGGTAAGTATTGCCACACGTGCCACTGCTGGAGACCCACCCTGCCCAGGGACCAGGGCTATTGGTGGCAGCTTACCCACAAATCTGAGAGACTCCATGCCCAACAAGTGTGAGAAAGGAGACTTGTAAGTGTAGAGAGGGCCCATTCCTTCATGCTGAAGACCAGACTGTAATCCCTGGCTTCCCTCGCCTGACCCCAGGTCTCCCACACACCTCCCCCTTCCCTTCCACAGCACCCTCATATGTAGATCATACTAGCTGTATGTAAGAATGGCAGGTACAAGACGTCCTGAACACTGCTTTCCCGTCATGTGCTGCCCATTGACAGATTTCACTCCTGCATCACGACTCTTCCACCAGAATCAGCTATGGAATCTCTTCTCAACACTGTGCTCCAGGCCGCACCCCTTGTCAGAAGGAATTAGCACATGCAGTGAAACTTGTTTGCCACACGTGGCAGCCCTTTCCAGAATCACTTCTACTTAAAGAGTTCTTAGCTCAAATCAAGCAACAACCTTAGGAAAATCATCGTTGCATGTGTTCTAAAACTATCATGGAGGGATTTGTCCATCACATGCCCTGTCCCCCACCTGAAGACTCACTTAGTCCCACCGCTGGGACTGCTCCTATTAGAATTCAATGGCCTCGGGACTTCCCTGGTGGCTAGTGGTTAAGAATCCACCTGCCAATGCAGGGGACACAACTTCCAGCTCTGGTCTGGAAAGATCCCACATGCCGCAGAGCAGCTAAGCCCGCAAGCCACAACTACTGAGCCCACGCACCTAGAGCCTGTGCTCCGCAACAAGAGAAGCCACCGCAACGAGAAGCCCACGTACCACAATGAAGAGTAGCCCCTGCTTTCCACAACTAGAGAGAGCCAGTGAGCAGCAATGAAGATCCAACGCAGCAAAAAATAAATAAATAATTAAATTTATTTTTTAAGAAAGAATTCAACGGCCTCACAAACAAGTATGCCATCTTCTTTCTGGCAATGAAAGCTATCTTTTTTATTTTCTACTATATGCTACACTCTTTCAAAAAATATTTCAGGAAACTTACCATTGACACATACATAAATAAGAAATAAAGAGGATAAAACGGCAAGGCAGGATCTAAAGCCACAAGAAAGACTAGTTTTTAAAAAGGGATTTTTAAAATTGCCAGCCCAGGAGACCAGTGCAAGTCCATAGGTTTTCGGCTGCAGGCCCCACTCAAGGACAACTGATCTGTCACATAGTTCACAGTGCCCCTAAGATGAAGGCAGTCAAATGTCTCAAGGGACACACAGTTATTCCTGACCCTAAGACTGGAAAGAAATGTCTCCCACAGAAGACTGTCTCATGTGATGGACAGCATCCACCACATGGTAGGCTCACAAGAGGGCTCTCTTGCTGCAGACCATGGCATTGTGCTACAGCAGTTCTGCAGGCCCCCGGACGACACAGCCCAGTTAATGGACAGCAGTGCGGTTTATCATGTTTCCCCTTTTGCCACGAAGTTCAAAACCAAATTATCTTAGTTCCAGAGTTCACATATGGCTTCCTCCTAATTTCCTATTTCCATGTATATTTTTCTACCTCTGGCCCTTTCATTTTAAGCCACCTCAGGGTCCCTTTGTAAAAGGGACGACGGCTATAAGTAAATTAGTCATCATTCCCCAGTCTCCCACCCATAAATTTTCTACTTGTGTGAAAGATTGTCTCAAGAAACTATTCCCCCCCCCAAAAAAGAAACTATTCCCCAGACAGCCTCTCCCTACTTACTCTCCTTTGCTAAATTATAAACTATGACTACACGCCCCCACCTTCCAGCCCTTACATTAAGGAGATGTTTAATAAAGTATTAATCGAGTTGGACTGAAATGAATCAGAGGCAATGACGACTCTCCTTTGCTCCTGCCCCAGGCCTACCTCCTCATTGAGGAGGACATCCGGGACCTCGCTGCCAGCGATGACTACAGGTAAAACCTGCCCTCCCTCCCCTGGGATGAGCCTGGACCTACATCCTCCCTTGCTCCAACTCTCCTCCTCAATGTCTCTTCCAGAGGATGCTTGGACCTGAAGTTAGAGGAGCTGAAATCCTTTGTCCTGCCCTCCTGGATGGTTGAGAAGATGCGGAAGTACATGGAGACACTCCGGACAGAGAATGAGCATCGTGCTGTCGAAGCGCCTCTGCAGACCTGAAGCCAGGTCCCCTGGCTACAGTTGGCAGCCCTCCTCCAAGGCCCTCTTACCCACATGGCTGAGGCCACTGCTGGGACTACTCCTAGATGGATCTCAGAGGCATTAAAGCTATGCCTGGGCTAGTTTGTAGTGACTCACTGCAGAACACCCCCAGACTGGCATGTGGTTCTATATTTGTAAAGTTATTGGGATAAGAAGCAATTAAATGGTTTGTAATAAACACAGATGGTGAGCCTGCTGTGAGGTCTGCCTGTGCACGCTGACAAAACATCAAGGGCTCTAGAGGAAGTGGGTGAAGGAAAAAAGGACCAGGCTCGCTTCCCCCACCCCACATTATTCCCAGGAAGCCCAGTGCCCCATGCGTATCTGCTTTGTGAGACGAAGCTGGGGACACCACGTACCTTGCCAGTCTTCCCTGTCCCTTTATTTCTACTTCGTCACCCAACTAAGGTATGGAAGTAGCAGAATGTGGTGATGGCTGGCACCATGGGAGGTTGATGACAAACCAGAAGAAAAATACAAGGTGGCTTTTATTACCCCCATTCTACAGGTTAAAACACTAAATTATGTGCCCAAGGGAACACAGCAAACCATTGGAGAGGCAGCCGATGAACCTGTTTTCCAATGAGGAGCCCCTGGCCCTGGCTATCAGCCTCTAGCTTTTCCCCTCGCCTGAATGTGCAGGCTCTTAAAGCCCCAACCAAAGTGCCCAGGACATAATAACAGGTGGCGGAGCTGGGGTTTCCGGTTTGAGGGAAGAGTACCAAGGCCCCAAGACTGGAGACCCTCCCTTCCCCTGGGAGTAAGGGATCCTGGCCGGTCGTGCCGGGTGTCCACGACAGTAGCCGGGCGTTTGACCTAAAAGGATTCACCCCACGTGGACTTTTTCTAAGCCCTTTAATGGTCGGCGTTTTCCAAAGGCGGCCAATCCGCTGCAGCTTCGTTAATTAATGACAGCCACTCTCCTGCCAATCGCCCATCAGAAGCAGCGTCCCGCCGCCCAATAGTGGTACACTGGTGGGTGGTTCTAGCAGTTGCCCGGTGACAGAGTGCTCTGGCGCGCCCCATTGGCTGGATCAAACCCAAGCGAGCCGCTGATAGGCCAGCGCTGCCGGAGGGTTACAATTCAAACGCGGGCGGAAGGGCCCGGGAACCCGCAGTTGCAGCCGCGGTCTCAGTGTAGTCTGAGTTTCTGTTTCCCTTCTCAGCGCCACCCGGATGGCTTCCCAGAACCGCGACCCAGCTGCCGCCAGCGTTGCTGCCGCCCGTAAAGGAGCCGAGCCCAGCGGGGGCGCCGCCCGGGGCCCCGTGGGCAAGAGGTGAGTGGTGCGGAGGTAACAATCGCCAGGCCTGGCACAGCCTGGGCCTTTGGGGCCGAGAGCGAAGACTTCCGGGACCCCCACCTCCTCCTGGAACGGGTGAGATATGGGAGGTAGAGGGACACGCCAGGAGCTCGACTGCTCTTAGAGACCCTCCCGAAGGAGGACGGAAGGGGTATGGCCGCTGCCAGGATCCTCCGTCGGTGAACCAAGATGAGGATGCTCCGGGGACCTTCGGTGTCTCGGCTGGAGGACGGCGGGGGAGGGGGAAGGAAGGAGGGGAGAAATTGAGATCCGGCACGAGAGAGACGCCAGAGAAGCAGACGAGGTTAAGAATAAGCCAGAGCCATCCTGTGGGAGCCTGGAATTAGGGAGAGTGAGGAGGACTCACTACGACCCTCTTGTGGAACTGGGGGTGACTGTGCCCCCAGCTGAGTCCGACTTCAGGGTAGAGGGAGCCTCCGTGACAGCTGCTTCAGAGATTGGGGTGGGAGGAGATGCACCACCTGGAGCCCTGACCCATCCAGATCCCAGGTGACCCCGAGTGCTCTTTTTGCAGGCTACAGCAGGAGCTGATGACGCTCATGGTGAGTGACTGATGCCCAGAGCCCCTCCCACCTCCCAGTCACTTATCAGTAGCCTCCTCTCCTACATCAGGCTCTGTGATAGACATGCGGGTAGAAAGATGAGTCCAGCTTGTTCTCTTCTGGGAAGAAGGTACTCCACCTCACCTACACACCTTTCCTCCAGAGAGTCTCTACTCCCAGTCCCGTCCTCCCACAATAAAGTTATCCCTGAAATACGGCTCTCATACGAGACCCTCCCCCTGCCCTACTTCCCTGCCCTAAGGTTTATCCACACCCAACTCTCCATCCTTCTTAATATTTCTAATCCTGTCGTACCTCAGAATGCTTCCTTCCTGGACGATCTCTTCTACGTTAACCCTGGATATTCAAGTCAAATCCTTCAGTGACCATATTGTTTATGTTCCCAGTCCGTGAGTAGTCTCTGGGCTTCGTATGTAACCAGCACTCAGTAACATGTTGAGTTGAATTCCCAGCAGCCATCATTGTGGTTACAGAGCTGCCTTCTGCTTCCCTGCACAACCCCTCCCTTCTTAGCCTGGTGATGAACCTCCATCATCCCAGTACTCCCCGGAGAGGCATGCTGAGCCCCGAGGATATAGCCATTTCCTCAGGAAAGCCTATCTATTTGGCCTGGTTGCTTTATTTTGCATCAAAATGTGATGAGGTTAAGGAGAAAGGGTTCACCCACTGGCCCCCCAGGAGCGTAAGCTTCAGCCCAGCATGTGTTGTGTTTCCTCCCCAGATGTCCGGTGATAAAGGAATTTCTGCCTTCCCTGAATCAGACAACCTTTTCAAATGGGTGGGGACCATCCATGGAGCAGCTGGCACAGTAAGTATAGGGTTGGGGTAGGTGAGTGTGACTTAGAGTCTGGGGAGAGGTGGGAGGTGAAATCCAAGTGCCGGGTCTGCTTCAAGTCTTTTGGCTGACGGGACACTCCGCTGTGCCTGCTCTCGTGCCCTGAGCCTGTGGCCCTGATCTCCCTCTCTCTAGTAAGAGGCTGTGTTTAAGGCAGGGCTCTCCATCTTAGATGCTGACAGGGGGCCAGACAGCAAGGACAAGAATGGACAATGGGCCTTAGACCAAAGGATCACTGATGACCCCAGTGACCAGATATGAGAGAAAGTACCAGACCAGTTTAATGCTTTCTCTTCTGTCAAGTCCCAGACAAACTCAGGGGTCCTGGCAAGTCCCTTATGTGGGGCTTGGGGTGGGACCTGAGGCTCAGGGTGGAAGGGTTACTCCCCGAATTTCTTTCTCCAGGTATATGAAGACCTGAGGTATAAACTGTCCCTGGAGTTCCCCAGTGGCTACCCTTACAATGCACCCACGGTGAAGTTCCTCACGCCCTGCTACCACCCCAATGTGGACACCCAGGGTAACATCTGCCTGGACATCCTGAAAGACAAGTGGTCCGCCCTGTACGACGTCAGGACTATCCTGCTCTCCATCCAGAGCCTGCTCGGAGGTGATTGCTGAGACCGGCCCCTCCCCTGCAACCTGGGAACCTGTCAGAACTCCCCCGGGCGGCCTCTTCTACCCGCACCTGACCGTCCTCTTTCTCTCCACCTGCAGAACCCAACATCGATAGCCCTTTGAACACACATGCCGCCGAGCTCTGGAAAAACCCCACAGGTGAGTCCTTTGTCCTTCTCAGGGCACCAGGCCATCCCTCCCCAACCTTCAAAGCCTCCCTCAAACAACAAAAGGATTCCAGTGACTTGGGAATATGTCCTTGGGGGGCAGGTAACCCAGTTCCACCTCTGCCTTGGTGTTTCTGGTTTGCCTGTTTGCTATAAAATCAGGAAGAACCAACCCTTTCCATATTAATGTAGGTTGGGGAGGCTTTTTAAGTAGAAGGCAAAGCTTTGTGCAGATGACTTGCTTGCTAAGGGCCCCTAGTCCCCTCCCCAGCCTCCCTGGAAACAGAGCCCGTCCAGGAGTCCTGGCTGGGTGGGCAGCATCTGTTGTGCTGGGAAGCCCCTCCCCAAACTCCTCGCACACTTATGTCCGTGCTGCCCTCTTACCCGCCTTAACCCCTGTCCTCATCGCTCACTGAGACCTGCCCGTTCTCTCCCAGCCTTTAGGAAGCACCTGCAAGAAACGTACTCAAAGCACGCCTCCAGCCAAGATCCCTGACCCAGGATGTGCAGCTCTCCTTCTGTTGTCTTTTTATTTTTTTTCCCTTAGATGGTCTGTCCTTTCCTCGATTTCTGTACAGGACCCTGTATCTCATCTGTGGTGTCATTTTTGTTTTGTTTCTGTTTTTTAAATTAAGTGTCTGGTTAAGCCCTTGTGATGACTATATTAAATAAATACATTTTGGGGTTTTTTAACAAGTAGCTGTCTTGTAGTTCCCCTAGGGTTGGAAGGGCACAGGATCGGCAGAGGTCAGGTGTAGGATCTGGGTTCCTGCCCTGCCCCTCCACCCAGGGAGTAGGAGAAGCGGATGGGCTGTAGGGCTGTGCAGTGGGGTGACAGGATTTGCTCCGTTGCAACCTTAGTTATTTTATGGCTCTGCATCTGTTTCCTCATCTATAGAATGGGTGTCACAAAATGCCGATTTCTGGGTGTTCCCTGGCGATCTAGTGGGTAGGATTCAGCGCTTTCACTTCCATGGCCCACGTTCAGTCCCTGGTCGGGGAACTGAGATCCCATAAGCCATGCAGTGCAGCCAAAAATATAGATAGATGGATAGATAGATGAAAATTAATTAAAAAAATAAAAAATAACAAAATGCCAATTTCTATGGTGTGGTGACATGCACCAAGAATGTTAGCAAATGTAGGAGTTGTCCCAGGTGTGTTGCAGACGAGGCTGAACCAGACATTAGGCTGAAATAGCTAGAGCTGTAGAGAGTGTGTGTGTGTGTGTGTGTGTGTGTGTGTGTGTGTGTGTGTGTGTGTTGGAGGGGGTGGGAGGTGGGGATCAGCCACCTACTTTCTGACCGTAGATGTTTTAACCCTGAAAAAGGAGCAAGAGGACATTCAGGTGACCCTACAGCAGGCCCAGGGACTGCGGAGACAGCCAGGGGAAGCCTTCTGGACTGAGGTCACAACTCACCCCTTGCCCCAGGTCCCCCATAGATGGCTCCATGCTCCACAGGGACACGTTCACCTCCTGCTTCATCTCCACCAGCAGTTCCTCTGTCTGCTGCACCACTGACCCAGCCAGCCCCGGCCCCTTGGGCCATCTTTCCACTGACCTGCCACAGGCCTTTGGGCCCCTGGGAGGAAACCCCTGTGCCGACCAGCTGGGTCCAGGTAGGCTGGGGTGTTGGGCCCAGCCCAGGTCCCGCAGGAAGATCTAGGTGACACACCCAGGTGTGCCCCAACAAGGCCTGAGTGTTGGCTACTCGCCCAACCTGGTCAGCTCTGCCCGCAGCTGGTTGTGCAGGCCTGGGGGGAGGGGGAGGAGACAGCAAGGAGGTCATCAGGAAGGTTCTCACCCACACTTTCCTCCTACTCCAGCGAGCCCGGACCCCTGTGCCCCCAGCAAGCAGCCACATGTGGGATTGGATTGGAGTTGTCAGGTCTGGGACTAGAACTTGGATGTCCTCTAATCAGTTCCTTCATCTCTGACTGTGCTGTTGGCTCCCTCCTTGGGGCTTGGACCAGTGTTGCTCAATCTACTGTGCATATAAATCTGCCGGTGAGGGGACTTTCCCTGGTGGCGCAGTGGTTAAGAATCCGCCTACCAATGCAGGGGACACGGGTTGGATCCCTGGTCCAGGAAGATCCCACATGTTGCGGAGCAACTAAGCCCGTGTGCTACAACTACTGAGCCTGCGCTCTAGAGCCTGAGAGCCACAACTACTGAGCCCGTGAGCCACAACTACTGAAGCCTGTGCGCCTAGAGCCCGTGCTCCGCATCAGGAGAAGCCACTGCAATGAGAAGCCCGCGCACGGCAACAGAGAGTAGCCCCCGCTCGCTGCAACTAGAGAAAGCCCGCGCGCAGCAAGGAAGACCCAAGGCAGCCAAACATAAAATAAATCTGCCTGGGATCTTATTCAAATACAAGTTTTGATTCAGTTGGTCTGGGTGGGGCCTGAGGCTCTGCATTTCTAATCAGCTCCCAGGTGGTGTCATTGCTGGGCTCTAGTTAAAGGTACAGAGCAGTGTTCTTGAGGCGTGGTCCTTCCACTTTTCACCTGGAACTGGTAAGAAATGTAAATTCCTGGCCCCAATAAGCTCTTCAGGTGATTCTGATTCTGTCTCAAACTGAAAATCACGAGGCTGGGACTTCCCTGGCAGTCCAGTGGTTATGACTCCTCACTTCCACTGCAAGGGGTGAGTGTTCGATTCCTGGTCGGGGAACTAAGATCCCCCATGCTGTGCCACAAGGCCAAAAAAAAAAAAAAAAGAAGACAAACACCAGGCTGGAGGATGTCTGAGATGAGCAGAGCTCAGAACCTGACACTTGCTTCTTAATAAATGCTGGCCAAAGTGGATGTATCTTTGCCTTCCTTAGGAAGCCTCTCTATGTGGTTTCCTGGACCATGGTGTCTGACTCCCCCAGATGGTCACATGTCCTACCTGTGTCAGTCACAGAGACCCAACTCTCTACACTGTCGTTCGAACCAATCAGGGTGTTTCCTGGAATTAATCCCTGCAAGAAAGTAAAATTATTTTACTACTAGGATTGCTAAAAGAGGAGGGAGTCAGTCTGGGCTGCTGGTGGAGACGGCTGCAGATGAAAGAAAGCCAAGCAGAGACAGATAGCTGAGAGATGACATTGAAACTCTGGCCTCCAGTTTGTGTGTTGGCACCCCGGTGTCATGAACCAACAAATCCCTTTTTGGTGTAAGTCAGTTTGACTTAGGTTTCTAACGCTAGTGCAGTCAGTATTAGAAGGTGTGATGATCATTATTCCCATACATTCAGTACAGTGGTTGAGTGGCCGCAAGGTAAAGGCCCTATGTTGGGGGCTGGGGATGAGGCAGGAAGAGGACACAGTCCTGTCCTCAGGGAGGGTGAAGTTTAGGGAGTAGATAGGCATGTCAATGGTGTAGAATAAGTGGTGTTTAAGGTAGAAGAACTGTGTTAGAATTCATGATCCACCCCGATGTTACTCGTATACACTTGGGCACTTATATTTAACCTCTCTGTAAAATGGAAATATTAGTAGCTACCTCATAGGATAGATGAAGAACTGTAGAACAGTGTCTGGCACATAGTAAGCACTCAATAAAAGCTGGGTGTGGGAGTTCCCTGGCAATCTAGTGGTTAGGATTCTCGGCTTTCACTGCCCATGGCCCGGGTTCAATTCCTGGTCGGGGAACTGAGATCCCACAAGCTGCGCGGCACAGGGTTGGGTGGGGCGGGAGCTGGGTGCTAGGCTCACATGTTGCTATGAAAGCTCAGAGGTGGGGCACCTAATGAAGATGAGGAGGGTCAAGGAGGGCTCTCTCTGGAGAAGGAGATTGGGCTGCGAGGGAGGTAACCAGCAGTTAATGAAGTCTTGAGCAGGGCAGTGACGTGGTCAGATTTGGTTTTGAAAAGATCCTGCTGGCTGCCATCTGTCTAGAGAGTGAATGGCAATGATAATGGCCTGAGTTATGATGCTGAGCGGGCTTGGAGAGGAGGGATGTAGAGGTAAGGAGACAAAGTAGCAGGGCATGGTAAGTAAATTAGAGGTGGAAAATGAGCTTCAGAATTTGTGACTTGGGTCTCAACCCTGAGGTGGGCAACACAGGAGAACGAGATGGAGGAGGGAGATTTACTAGTTTAAGGCAGGGCCAGTTTGAAACACTCAGGACGCCCTGGTAGAATTGTCAACAGGTAGGTGGTCTTGCTCCTGTTTCCACCACACAGCCGTATCATCTAGGTTGTTACCTACTTGTCTGGGTAATTCACCCCACTCTGCCTGAGTTTCCTCAACCGTAAAATGGAAATAAGGGCATCTGCCCCTGGGGCTGTGTGGATAAATGAGACAACACCTGCACGGCACACAGTAGGCATCCATAGGGATGATTACTAAACGCGAGCACTGCTCCTAGCTGGAAATAATCCAGGAAACATGAACGAGCCAGAAAGAGGAGAAGAGAACAGGGAGTTGGAGAGGGAGGGCTGCAACAATGAATAAGAGTTCAGTGTTTCAAGATGATAATGATATTACTAATAGCATTTATTATATGCTGACTCCGTGCCAGGCTCTGTTCTAAGCACTTTGCACACATTAATTTATTCTCACAACCCTGTGAGGTGAGTACTATCACTGCCCCCGTTTTACAGATTAGGAAAGGAAGCAGAGAGCGGTTTGTCACCAGCAGTGAGGATTCAAACTGAGCGTGAGGAAAGCCAAACTACCACTGCCCTTAATTAGCTTTGACCCAACGCCGGCTGTAATTGAGTTGTTTACAAAAGAGGTGTGGGCGCCAGAGTGCAGCCAGTCAGGGCAGGGATCAAGGGAGGACAAGATGGTATCTGAGCTGCGTCTTGGTGTCTTGGAGATGGCATTTGAGCTGTGTTGAAGGATTTGCCAAGACTTTAAGAGGAAGAAGGGCATTCCAAGGAGAGAGAACAGCATGTGCAAAGGTTGGAGGGCTTAAAAGTGCACCCCACTTCCACAGCAAGAAGGATCGATTGCCCAGTGAGACTGGAACCTCTCGAGGAGGGAAGGGGTAACAGTGGGAAGGAGGGGAAGGAATTAGGATTTGATTCTAGAAGCAATGGGGACCCTGGAAGCGCCAGGAGCCACTCAGCCCCTCGGCCAAGTTGCCACGCTTAGCGCCAGCTGCAGATAGACCGTCGCTAAACTTCCGAGGGCATCGAGCGCCACCTCGGGCTCCCGCGACCCGGCGGCCTTCCGCCTCCCGCTGCGTTCGGACCCGAGGACGCTCGGGTGGCTCCAACCGGGGTGGCGCCCTGGACAGCGGCCCAACCAGGCGGCTCCCGACACCCGATCCATCCCGGCCCTCCCCTCACTCAGGACACGCGCTTTGCAATGTTTCCTTTTATTCCTTCTAGACACATTCCCAGAAGGGGCCGCGCCTCCCTCCCGGGGCCGGGAGTGGGACCGGGCGGCGATGACGTCCCCACGCCCTAAGGACGCGCGGTCTCCGCGGAGGGGAGGGCCGACTTCTTACTGCACGCCCTCCATCATCTTCAGGAACTCTGCGGGGAAGGAGACGGAGAGGCGGTCAGGGGTCCCCTAGGGGCGAGGCAGGTCTGGCCAGGCTCCGGCCTCGCAGAGGGGGTGCCTTGTCATTTGTAGATAAATTGCACAAAACCTCCCGGAGGTCCCCGCTACCCGCCCGCAGGGGGTGGGGAGGAGCTTGGCCCCGCCCCGCCCCGCCCCGCCCCGCCTTCAAGGCTAGGGACTCCCGCGTGGGCGCCACGCTCAGACTCTCCAGCCTGGTTCGGTCTTCCGCTCCTCGCGCTCCCCAGACCCTCACCGTCGAAGTCAATGCGGCCGTCGTTGTTCTTGTCCCCGTCCTTCATCAGGGATTCGAGCTCCTCGTCCGTCACGTGCTCCCCGGAGGCCCGGAAAATCTCAGCCAGTTCCTCAGCATCGATGTAGCCGTCTGCGTTCCTTCAGGCGGAGGGCCAGGGCGGAGCTCAGGACGGGCAGGGGCGACCTGCCCGGGCCACGCCGGACGCCCCCTCCTACATCCCCACCCCGAGAACCTTCGTGCCCTGCTGGCCAGACTCAGACGGCTCTGCGCCTCGCTCGGCTCCCAGGCCCCCAATGCACCTGTCAAAGATGCGGAAACACTCAGCCAGCTCCTCCTCACTCTTCCCCTTGGCGTCCTCTTTCATCTGGCGCACCATCATGACCAAGAACTCCTCGAAGTCGATGGTGCCGCTGCCTGAGGGAAGCAGATGGTGAGGGAGCCCGAGCCCTGGCTGCCAGCTCCTCTCCACCACCACCATCCCATCCCTCGAAGGGCCACCCGCTCACCGTCCTCATCCACCTCCTCGATGATGGCGTCCAGCTCCTCTTTGGTGGGTGTCTGGCCCAGCATCCTCATCACCGTGCCCAACTCCTTGACGCTGATGTCCCCGCCACCATCAGCATCAAACATGTCGAAGGCGGCCTTGAACTCTGCCAGGGCAAGGAGAGCCTAGGGCTAAGGTGAGCCTGGCTGGACCGTCAGCCTCACGTCCACCCTCCCTGCCTGCCTAGACACCAAACATTGCCCAGCACACAGCCACCCAACGGACAGCCCGCCCACCCCCACTCACCAGCGATCATCTCCTCGCTGAGGTAGGACCGGGCCTCAGCCTGCTGGTCCGTCTGCGGGAAACACAGTCCATCAAAGAGCAGAAGGGGAAGCCCTGGAGCGCATTCCTGACTTAACCCCATTCTTCTGCACCCCCGTTTCTGTAAGTGCCCCTTAGTCCTCCGGAGAAACAGCTCCAAACTTGCCCCCCCCCCACCGCGTGCTCCCACAGCACCCAACCCCGCTTTTGAAGAACTAGGGAGGGGAATTCCCTGGCGGTCCAGTGGTTAGGACTCTGTGCTTTCACTGCCGAAGGCCTGGGTTCAGTCCCTGGTTGGGGAACTAAGATCCCACAAGCTGCGCAGCTCAGCCAAAAAGAAAGAAAGAACTAGGGATTATGCCCTTCTTGCTTGTCAATCAGAGGTCAATTCAGGAACCCCCCAGTAATCTTGGGCAAGTCACTAAATGTACCCTCATCCCCTCATCTCTTCTTAGCAGTTTTTCAGGGATGAGCTGAAATCAGGGGTGTGAGAAGGCTTTGTAAAGTACCAGAACGATTCCAACATGGTTTTCCAGTTTTCCCTGCCTCCTTGCATTGCCTGGTACTTTAACAGGTGCTCGATAAATGTTTGTTGTCAAATAAATGATAATGCAAGGCAAAGTTACTGAGCACCGACCAAGTGTCAGGCCATAGACCGGGCACTGACCCCCAAGAAGTCAGACACATCATCCCTCCCTCCGAGAACTTGCAGAGACAGAGATTGTAAGCTTCCTTGCGACGATTCAGTCATTGGAGTAAATGCCACTCCTGCTGGGCGGAGCATGATGTGGGCCTTGTGCAGGTGATGGTAAGATGGCTCTAAGGAGTTTCCATCACGTCCAAGCCCAGCCAGCTAGCTAGGGGACTTGAGACTGAGGCCGGCAACGAAGAAGGGCTGAGGCGTCCAAGGAGCCCTTCAGCTGGCTGGCTGCTGGCTGTCCTCCTTGTCTCCCTCCTCCTCCCCTCCCCCCTCCCCTCCTCCTTGCCTGTGCCAAAAGGACAGGTTATTTTTAGTCAGGAACGGGCCACAGCAGCTGTCCTCCAGGGTCTAGTTACTCCTTGAAGTGAAGTGGGGAGGGCGATCTCAGAGGAAAAGGACAGCTTCAAATCATAACCCCTCTCTGGGAGGCTGACATCTCTCTAACTCTGCTCTGTCATCTTCAGCCCTTTCTCATCCCCTTGGAGCTCTTGGGGTCCTGCCCCTGAACTGGTCTGAGGCCCTGCAGGCTTCCCATCTTCCAGAGGAGGTTTCCTCCTCTCACTGGCAGGAAGAGGGTTTGGCAAGGCTTCCAGCCCACCCCCACTGCTCACTGGCTTGCTGGGTGACTCCCTCTCCACCACGAGGGTCCCCATCTCCACCATCAGGGTGACAAGCTAAGACCCACTCACAGCTCTCTGACCGACATGGCTAGAAGCCTCAGAAGGTCTCAGGGAACCGGCACGCCTGGAGGCTCAACCCCTGGAACGTCGCAACTCTCCCCTTTCAAGACAAGTCCGAGGCCTTCTTCCCAACCTTCCTCCCAGACGCCAGGGTTCCAGGAACTTTCATATTCCAGCTTCAAACATCCAAGTTACTGCCCCACAGAGCACCCAGATCTGGCCTGAAAGATGCCCAGAAGTGCTCCTGCAAGTAAAAGGATGAAGTCCCTTCTCATCCTTACCATGGTTGCGTGTCACCAGGACTCCTCTGCACTCCACCACCCAAAGATGCCCTGGCCCTCTGTAGCCCTAGGATTTGTAGGGGCATCCCCTCCTCCCACTTCCCTGCTCCCCAGGACCGGATGCCCTGGCCAATCAGATCCTGGGGTCAGCGAGCACCCCCCTCCCAGAGTCCTAGCCCATTACCTAATTTAGCCAAGGGCCCTCGCAGAGAAATTTAAGCCTCCGAGCAGGTGGCAGGCCTTGACGTCCTAGATTCTTGTGAGGAGAACCTGCCCCGCTCCACCGCCTTAGTGAGCGCCCCCTCAAGAGGCACACTTGCTCCAAGATGGGTGAGGATGATAAGGGTAGAGAAAAGTGAGGCAGCGTGGCGGAATGCAAGAGCACAAGCCTTGACGTCCAAAGCCCAGGATCCAATTCCTGTCTCTACAAGCTGTGCACGCTTGGGCAGGTGGCGATGCCACTCTGAGCTTCAGTTTCCTTATCTGTGAGATGGGGAGAGTCATAACCTCCCTCACAGAGAAACCATGGTAAACGGGAGCCCAGGTATATGTCACCAAGATTGTGCCAACTACACAGGGTCAGTGCTTGGCAAGTGGAATGTTTTGTCTTTGAATCGGGCTAAGGGGCGGGGGATAGGAGGAGGGGAAAGTGACTGCCACAGTTATTGAACCTCTGTGACTTGCCACACACTGTGCTAAAGCATTTTAACCACATGACCTCATCCAGCACTCATCCTGTGAGGTAGCAACTATGGTTATTCCCTTTTCACCGGGAGCTTTGTAAATCATAAAGGTCTATAGTCACGTTGGAGATTCTTATTCATACTGACTGAGGGGAAGTTGGGGCAGACTGTCCTCAGGGGACCCGTCTAGAAGGAGGAACGTATAGAGGGGTCCAGGAAACAGGGTGTGCACTTGGAGGAGAAAGAAACATTGAAAGAAGATTCTTCTCTCAAGCTTACCTTCTCCAGGGAAAGGGTTTGGGGGATTCACTTTTTTGGGGGCAAGGGGGACCAGGGGAAGTTTCTCTAAGTAGGTGAAGGGGCAGCTGGCCCCTTGCTAGAGCTTGAGGAGGAAGTCTGGAGGAGCTCAGCTGGCCATCTGGAGAGGGAAGGAGTGGACAGATCAAGTCAAGTCCGAGGCGAGCCCACCCTGAGAACGTACAGGGTCCACACGGGGTGTTGGCAACCCACAATCCCACACGGGGATAGACAACATTTATGGACGGTAGCTGAGTCAACAAAAAGAGCACGGAGATGACTAAACACAGGGTCTGGGGCTAGTGAAAGGGGGCTGGACACCAAGGAAGTCAGATGGACAGTGGCAGCTGGGCTGCCCTCTTGCCCTATACATAGATATTCCCAAGGAAATCTCAGTGGAGCCAGGCCAGGCTAAATAAGGCCTCCCCCAGCCAGGCACAGGGCCAAGGGGCCATGCTCCCCAGGGGATGCCAATTTGGACACAAACATTGGAACCACTTAACCCCTTTGGAACAGAGAGTGTGGAACTTGCAGCAATCCTTTGTTCATTAATTTGTTCTTTCATTTATTCAGGGAAATAGATAAGGTCCAAACTCAGTGTGGCCAAGCAAGGTCCCACTCACCCTTCCATTCTCATCCCCTTTCCTCTCCCACCTTGCATGCCACTCTTCTCTGTTCAGACTAAAATAAGGCTCCGAACACCACCCTTTAAAGTTCCCGGGCCCTTGCACATTCTGGGTTTTTTCTGCCAGAAACTCCCATCTTCCCTTTGTTCACCTGCCTACTTCCCTATCCTCTTTCTCGGCTTTAACGATACTTCCTCCAGGATCCTTCCTCCCCTGTACCCAGGCCAAAGGAGTCCAAGGTGGTCTCCAGTATTTTCCTCAGTCATAGCACTGAACATGCCATGGGATCACGACCTGTTCTAAGTTCCACGGACCAGAGACTGTTACCTGCCTGCCAGTGCATTCCCCAGCACCCAGCACTTGGCACTTAGCAAGTGTTCAAAAAATAATATGATCTTTGGAAGAATAAGTGAACAGAATGACATCTGGTTCAATATAAGGAGGACCTTTTTAACAGTGGTGGTTGAATAATAATGGGACTGGGCAGCCTCAGAAGGTAATGAGCCTCCTGTTACTGAATGTATGCAAACAGGAGTTTGATGACCACCTCTCAGGGAGGCTGTGGGGAGAGATCCACACGGAGCCTAAGAGTAGTGGAGAATACAAGACCTCAAAAGATCTCCTAGTTCTGGCCCTGTGTGTATGGCCCAGAGTAACTTTCCTTCACTGAGCTTCAGACTACCCATCTGTAAAATGGAGGTGCTAGACCAGATTTCGGAGCAACCCTCCTCCAGACCCTCATGGCTCTTGACAACCCGTGGTTTTGTGAACACCTGCTTTGTACCCAGACTTGTGAGGCATTTGCCAAAGTACAGGTTAAGATTCAGCCAGTGTTTGGTGAATGGGTGAGTGCTGAATGAATGAACAAATGAGGTGTGTCTTTGTTGCCCCAACACCCTGCTGGGAAGCTGAATGAAGAGTCATTAAAGCTTTGAGATTACACAGACTTGGCCTTAAATCCCAGCTCCCCTATTTCCTAGCTGTGGATTTTGGGAAAGTCTATTTGCCTCAGTATCTTCATCTTGAAAATGGACCATTCTTGTCCACTAAGAGCCTCCTCCCCAGGATGTTGTGAGGGTGAGATGTGACCCCTTGTAAAGTGCCTAGAACAGGATGGAGGATACAGTGGAACTTCAAGAAATGAGAGCCCTGCCCCTTCTGTACAGAGGGAGGGCAGGCAGTATGTGTTCCATTCAAAGCTATTCCCATACCCCTCTCTCCTGTGCCATTTAAAAAGGGGAGAAGCTACCATCAGAGAGATTTTACTCGTTTGATTGTATAACTAGCGATATCTGCCCTGCTAGGGACTGATAGCTAGGTCTTTTGATGGGAAGGGACAATAAATTTTTGACCTACTGCTGCCCTCTGGATAAAAAATAGAAACACAGCTCACTAGGGGAGTTGCTGAGATTACCAGGCCTGTAGCGTGAGAAAAGAACAGGATGTGGAACTCAGGAGACCTGGGCTGCAGGGCCCTACACTCAGAAAACTCTGGCAAGCTGTATGACTTGGGGAAAGTAACTCAGCCTCTCTGGGTCTCAGTTTTCCCCGTTTGCCTATGTCCTATGTGTGAGGCAGGCTCAAATGAGATTGTAAAAGCTTGTGAACACTGTAGAAACAATAATCATTGTGTAACTTATTATCCTCTTAGTCCCTCCTCTGTGCAAAATTCGTACTTAAATTCGTATTAATTGTTCCTGTTTTACATATGAGAAAACCTAGGCTACTCGAGGTCAGAGGTCAGATTTCATCCCAGATCACTCGGCTTCTCTTGGCCTCGGTTTCCTCACAGGAGAGATGGGCTTCCTACTGCCGCGTAATGACTTTGGAAAGTTAGAGTGCTGGGTATAAATTAGGGGATAGATGGGGGCCAGCCTGGGTCTCCGCAGGGTTGGGAGGATTCAAGGAGGGTGTAGGCCCCTCCGGATTGGGGACGATCCCTTAGGGGGCCGCGGGCTTGCCCAGGCCTACCCAGGATTCCCAAATCCCTCATGGAGCAAAGGGCCCGGGACTCCCGGGCGGCTCAGGGAGCAGGCGGGGCCGGAGGCGGGGCGGCGGCAGGAAGGGGCCGGAGCGGCCTGGGCCCGGCGGAACCCGGCGGAGCCCGGTTGCCCTCGTCCAGGCACCGCGGGCCGCACGAGAACCCCGGGGAGCGGGGCGCCCCAGAGTGCACCTCGGGCCGCAGGAGGCAGACCCGCGCCAGGGCGTGAAAGAGGCGCCGGCAGAGTCGCGGGACCCTCCACAGGCAAGGGCGGGGCCTCCGCGGCGCCCCTCCCTCCCCCAATCCCGGCCCCGCCCCGCCCCCTCCCCGCGCGGGGCTGGGGTCCGCCTCCCTCCCCAGCCCGGGACCCAGCGTCGCGAGCTCCCCCCGGGGTGCCATGGCCTCGCGGCTCCTGCACCGGCTGCGGCACGCCCTGACCGGCGACGGCCCCGGGGAGGCAGCGGCCGGCCCCGAGGCCGAGCAGTTCCCGGAGAGCTCGGAACTGGAGGACGACGACGCCGAGGGCCTGTCGTCCCGCCTCAGCGGCACCCTGAGCTTCACCAGTGCCGAGGACGACGAGGACCAGGACGACGAGGACGATGAGGAGGCTGACCACGACCCGCCGCCCGATGGGGACCGGGCGGCGGGAGAAGACGCAGGCGAGTGCGGGAGGATGGAGGCGGGAACCCTGGGGCTCGATTAGGCCTCCACCCCAGCCGCGTTCCCGAGCTGATCCAGCCGAAACGCAGACACTTCTTTAAGTGCCCCAGCCACCTCTTGGCTGTGTGACCTTGACAGAGTCACAACACCTCTCTCAGCCAAGTTCCCTTGTGTCAAATAGGGGAAATCACTCGCATCCCGGGTTGTTTAGGGCATGATATGTACAGGGTCTGGGATACAAATGGTAGTAATGTGCTAGCAATGTTTTGGGGGTGGAGATATTTATTTAACATCTACTGTCTGCCGGGCAGGTGTTTGGCACCAGGCCCCCTCTCTGGCCCTCCGTTTCCATTTATGTCAAATGGGGATAAATCCTTTGTCATTTGTTGGGAGGATGAATGAGGTCAGGGCATGTAATTTATGTGGAACCTGGCCCCAGGCCCATCCTGTGCTCATGCAGAACGGAGTCCCCCACCTGATGGGCAGCGGGGCAGTCAGCTCCTGACACGGCAGTTGCAAGATTTCTGGAAGAAGTCCCGGAACACCCTCGTACCCCAGCGGCTGCTCTTTGAGGTGACCAGCGCCAACGTGGTCAAGGACCCGCCCTCCAAGTACGTGGTGAGTGAGGGTCCAGGAATCCCTGGGCTGTGAGTCTAGAAGTCTGGCTAAGAGAAAACGCCAGCTTCCTGGGGGATCTGGCTGTGTATAAGTGGCTGCCCCATTTTACAGATGGGGAAACTGAAGCCAGAAAGGGGATGTAACTTGAGCAAATCCTCAGGCAAATGACTTAAAACTTTTTTGAGGGACTATGGACCTATCCAGTCCTGGTTCTGAGACTAAGAACTAGTGTGCGTGTCCCCTGCTCCCTGGTTTTTGCAAATCGTCGCAAGATGCAAGATACACAAGGAAGAATATTACCTGAGTCAGACTTGAGATCCAAGTTGCATTGGTTAGTGGTTAGAAAAATGGGTTTTGGATCCCAGTTACTACCAGTCGTTTGACTTTGGGTGAATTGTGAAACTTTGACGACCCTGTTTCCTCATCTGAACGAGGGGATAATGCCCAGGATTGTCGCAGAAATCAAATGAGACAGTGCATAGAAAGCCCTTAGCGTTGCACCTGGCATCGTGAAGTGCTCGATAAAATGGTAGTTCTATTATTATTGCTTACCTTTGGGTTGAAAATGTCTGGCCTCTAGGGCCTGTTGTAGCCTCTTTACAACCCAGGAAAGTCAGTTCTCCAGCACCCACACCTGTACAGAATGTTTGTCCTAAGGACTGGATTTATGGGATGGGTAGGGTTGGGGTGAAGATCAGTGCGGTGGGGAGGCCCTGATTTCCTGGCTGTGGAAAGGAGACACACATGGCGAATTCGGTGGTCCCGGTCCTGAAACCCAGCCTGACCTGGCTGGTCATGGCAGCAGCAACTCCCTGCCTCCCACTTCCCTCCTCTTCACCACCCTCCTCCATTTCTGACTCAGCAGGAAGGGGGCCTGAAGCCCTGTCCCACGTCTGGGCTTCTCCACCCCTCTCTGCAGCTCTTAGTGAAAAAAGGGCCACGCCCATGGGGCGACTGCTCCCATTTGAGCAGGGATTGACTCCAATGATCAGATCTTAAGTGGCGAAAGTCCTGGCTGGGGGTCATGCACAGGAAGGGGGCGCCAAGGATCAGTAGCAGCTGGGAGACAAGGAAGTATGCGGGCAACTCTGGGAAGAGAATGACAAGATAGAGCCAAGTTTGGCCTGGCGGCCTGGCCCAGGTCTGGGGAAACGAATCTTCTCTTTGTTTGATGGGGACCCTAAATCCTGCTTTAACATCTCCTGGGGGTTAAGAGCACAGGCTTTGGAATTAGGTCGGCCTGGGTTTGAGTCCCAGCTGGGCCCTTTACCAGCTTAAGGGAGGTCTTTGAGCCCTTTGCCCCCTCTTGGGGCCTGCTTCCTGAGCTGTCAAACGGAGGTAAGGATGGCTTCCGGGCAGTGCTGTTGTGATGATAAAATAGTAGATGTGAAGAGCTAGGCACAGCACGTGGTGCAGGGTAGGCGCTCAGTTAATGGAGTGACTCTCATTACCTATCTCAGCGGGACAGTATAAGGATCAGATAATGGATGTAAAATGGGTTTTTGTCCAGAAATTACAAATGAAAATAAAAGCTAGATGAGCATAAGGGGTCACTATAGACCAGTGCTTCCTGAAACGTGTTCAGCAGAAAATTGGTTCCCTCCCTGGAATATCAATAACTGTTCTTAAAAAAAAAAAAAAGTTTTTACAGTCAATATGCAATGTTTGGGGAATGCAGAATTGAACGAGAGTAAAATAAGTTTCTTTACTGTTAAACTTTTCAATCCTGAATATTAATGTACACTGAATCTTCAAGGGAAGGATAGAGCAGGCAAACCGAACTGACCAGGGGGGGCTAGGATATTGGCAATTACACAGAACAAATTCGAGAGAAGAATCTCGGTTTGGTGTTAGTATGCTTTCAACATCGAACGCTTGCTAATCCCGCCTTCAGACCTGTTAGCTCAGCATGATTACAGATTAATCTATATTTGGGTTCTCGGACCTGGGGGGAAGCTTAGTGGTCATCTTGTTCAGTGTTTCCCAAACCTCCAGCACCCTCACAATTCTTGTCCTATCTAAATGCTACTTGTACCATTCTGTGCTTCACGTTTCTCTTCAAATAAACCTATTTTTGAAAAATAAGTTTAAAAGACAACTTTATAGCACAACTGTATATGGAAAGGCTCACTTGCCATAAAGAGAAGATAACCGTAGAAATAAAAGCAGTGAGAGTGTCATTAAGCCCTGCCTGGGTGCTGCTGCCTGAAGAAGGCCCTGACCTGAGAGTCTCTTTCTGGCTCTTTTCTAAAAATGGAGATGAAAAGGGCTTTTTTAAACCAAACTGAGAGCTTCTCAATGTGCAGTCAGAAAGGTTCACAGAGCATTAGTGGGGGCATCGCCTCCTGCCTCTGATTCAGTGTTATATACTCCAGTACATACCCCCTAAACCACCCAGGTACCAACGTTTGCACACGTCCCACACTTAAGTAAACAGTGAGCTGGGCCAGCGCTCCAGTCACTAGAGTCGGAAGCGGACCCAAGAAGGGGACTGCCCTGCCTGACATCACATAGTGAGGGAGCACCTGACCTGAGGTTAGAACTTGGGTCCCAGTGCACTTTTCACACTGGTCGCTACTGGGGCTGTCTGAAGACCTGTGTTCTGGGTCTGGATTGGAATAACCTGGCCAGGGATGTGGGGCTATGTATCCAGAGTGGAATGAAGCTCCAAGCTGATCCTAAAGGTTGGCTCTAGAGGCCCAAGAGATGGGCCTGGGTTTCGGCCCTCGGCTGGTTTTCCAGAGGGGCTGTAAGAAGAGCTCACTGCCCTATGCGAAGGGAGTACTCCCTAGGAGGGGCAGAGGGGGCGGCTGGACCAGGCGCTGAAGCTCATCTCTGTCTTTTTCTCCCCATGCTGCCTTGGGCCTGGGTCATTTCAGATGAGCCTCAGGTAAGATGAGACTGGGCTCCCCAGCAGCCTTGGGGGTGAAGGGAAGAGGCGGGGGAAGAGAGCTGGAAGTGAGAGGGAAGGGTCCCGGGGACACCTTGCACCTGCCCTGACCCCCACCCTCCCCCGCAGCTCTACACCCTCGCCGTGATGGGCCCGGGGCCACCGGGTCGCCAGCCAGCCCAGATCTCCCGCCGATACTCGGACTTTGAGCGGTTGCACCGAAACCTGCAGCGGCAGTTCCGGGGCCCCATGGCTGCCATCTCCTTCCCCCGCAAGCGCCTGCGCCGGAACTTTACCGCAGAGACCATCGCCCGCCGCAGCCGGGCCTTTGAGCAGTTTTTGGGCCACCTCCAGGCAGTCCCTGAGCTGCGCCAGGCCCCGGACCTGCAAGACTTCTTTGTGCTGCCGGAGCTGCGGCGGGCGCAGAGCCTCACCTGCACTGGCCTCTACCGCGAGGCCCTGGCGCTCTGGGCCAACGCCTGGCAGCTGCAGGCCCAGCTGGGTGTCCCCTCAGGCCCAGACCGCCCTCTGCTGGCCCTGGCGGGGCTGGCTGTGTGCCACCAGGAGCTGGAGGACCCTGGGGAGGCCCGGGCATGCTGTGAGAAGGCCCTACAGCTGCTGGGGGACAAGAGCCCTCACCCTTTTCTGGCACCCTTTCTGGAGGCCCACGTGCGGCTCTCCTGGCACCTGGGCCTGGACAAACACCAGTCAGAGGCCCGGCTCCAGGCCCTGCAAGAGGCAGGCCTGACGCCCACGCCACCCCCCAGTCTCAAAGAACTACTCATCAAGGAGGTGCTGGACTAACCACACCTAGACTTAAGGCCACTGTGGGGAGAGGCACTGCCCCAGGATGGGAAGTGGGGTAGGGGCGGATGAGGACACGGACAGCAGTTGGGAGGTGACCAGGGGTGCTGGGAACCCCTACAAGTTCCACAAAGGATTTGTAGCAGACTGAAGAAATGTGCTTCTTCTGTTGAGCTGGGCTCAGGACAAGCTTTGGCTAGGATGGTGCAGGGAGAAAGTCTGGTGCAGCCTCTCAAGCTTATGAATTCTGGGGGCTGTGCCCCAGGTCAGGGTCAACGGTCCCTTTTCCTTGGGCCTCCGAGCCAGCCTGGCTAAGGGCCAGGAACTCTGGCCCAGGAGTCCTGGGGTTGATGGCTGGAGGGAGGGCTGCAGTTCCGGCCAAGGGGGATTAAAAGCCAGCAGCTCCACTGGTAGAAGTCTCTTTATTCCATGTTCAGGACCAAAGGCCCAACCCTGGATGGTAACTCCTGCCTCAGGAGTCGGGGGAGAAGGGAGATCCTTGAAGCCCCAGACCAAGCTGGTACCTCTGGCTACAGCTTTGAGTCCCGGGGCTTCACTCGGATCACGCCCTCCTGGGCACAGGACATAGCCAGGACCCCGTCCCGACGCCACAGCCGCCCATGAACTAGGCCCCGGGAGCCACCTGCGAAGATAAGGGAGAGAACTTTCCTTCCACCCAGCCAAATGCCCTCCTTGAAAAACATACAACTCAGGTTGGACCACCCCATGCCAGGGTACGCTCAGTGTTGTGGTCACTCCCAATCTCCAAGCACCCTTTTAGGAGCCTATTATGGTTGGTCATCAGGGGTAACTCCTCCCATGGGAATCCCACTTGATGGTTTAAAAGCACTTTCACATATCTGCTGGCTTCCTCAAAAAAATCCCAAGGGGATACGTTCTGAGAACAGTCTGGTTCAGTAGCTCAGCTAACCAGATCTGCCCCACTTCTGGCCACCTGTGTGAGGAAACCCATCAGTTCCCCCTTTTTTTTTTTTTGCGGTACACGGGCCTCTCACCATTGTGGCCTCTCCCGTTGCGGAGCACAGGCTCTGGACGCGCAGGCTCAGCAGCCATGGCTCACGGGCCCAGCCGCTCCGTGGCATGTGGGATCTTCCCGGACTGGGGCGTGAACCCGTGTCCCCTGCATCGGCAGGCGGACTCCCACCACTGCGCCACCAGGGAAGTCCCCATCAGTTCCCTTTATAATAAATCAAACCAGGCCCTCCAGGCTGGTAATTCGTTCAAACAAACAAACCAACAAAAAAAAACCCCACCTCCATCCCCCCAGGGACAAAGGGGCTCGGAGGACAGGACGTGGAGCCGTGAGGCCTGGCCACCCCCCTCCCCACGTGGAGATTCTCCCTTGCTAGCCCAGGGCCTTAGTCTGATTATTTAGGAAGGGAACTGCTGGTTTCTCTTATATGCAGAACAGCTCACTTAGGCCTTGTCCCATGTTCCAGATGATGCCAGTCAAATCCAGAGAGGCTCAGGAACTTGGCCTTAAGGCTCAGGCCAAACATGAACCCAAGAGTCCTAACTTCAAGTGGTGGCTCCTTTACTGTGATGCTGTCGGTGCTCAAGAGCCCCCCTTCCCTGAGTATAAGAAGTCCCTCAAGTTTTGTCCCTGGTTCACGAAGCAAGGCTTTTCTTTGTTTGAAATGCACTTCCTTGGAAAGGAACCCAGGGCTCTGAGACTAGGCACTGATGAACGAGTCTGGGTTTCTCTCAACACTATATGGAGTATCCAAGCAGTGGGGCCCTTAGAGAATGCTGAGTGCCCTGACCCTCAACCAGGTTAATTGTCAGAATCACTTAGGGAGCTTTTTTCTTTTTTTAATTTTTTGACTGCGCCGTGCAGCATGTGGGATCTTAGTTCCCCGACCAGGGATCAAACCTGGGCCCCTTGCAGTGAAAGCACGGAGTCTTAACCACTGGACCGCCAGGGAAGTCCTGGGAGCTTCTTAAAAATACTTTCCTGGACCTCATCCAAGATCTGCAGAGTCAGAATCTTAGGGATGGAATCTGAGAACGTTCTGAAAAAGCTCCCCCAAGTGGTGGTCTGATGGGCCACCAGCTTTGGATACCTCTGTTTTAATGCAACCCTATTTGTTGAGATGGGGAAACAGGCTCAGAGAGGAGATGGGACTTGCCCAAGATCACACAGGTAATCTGAAGTGGTTCTGGGACTAGAACTGAGTCTCTGAGATAAACTGAATCATATTCCCAGCATGTTACGGAAATTAAGAGCTGAGCAGGTGTCCCATCCTCAGGCCTCACCCTGTCATTTTGAAGACAAGGATACCACAGCCTACGGAAGCAGAAGAGGAAGTGAGTGATCTGTGTGGTGCTCCATAGAAAGTGGGTGGGGGACAGCATCACCCAAGAAAGCAGGCTCCCTGCCCTCCCAGGGTCAGCACCCTCATCCCCCATGGTCCCACACTCACCGGCCCAGGGGCTCTCACACTCATAGAGCATCCAGTGGTCAGCTCGGAAAGGGGCGTGGAACCACATGGAGTGATCCAAGGAGACCATGAAGTGCACCTCGTGCCGCCACTGGTGGGGCAGCAGTGCTGTGCCCAGGAAGGCATAGTCCGAGATATAGGCTGCCACGCAGCAGTGCATCTTCATGTCGCCCTCCCCTGCAACAGATTCCGGCCCTATCAGCCCTGGGCTCCTGGGCTTTACAGCTCAGGACCTGCAGGGAGGTAGGGAGAAAGGGGCTGCCGTGCATAGGTGTGCAGACTGTTCACTGCCCAAGGGTACCTGGCCCAAGTTGTGTGTGTGTGTGATGGGCGATAAGGGAGACAGGGATGGGAGGGGGGCAGGTGCAGGTGAGGACTGAAATCCAATCTTCAGTCCCCAAGTCTCCCACCGTGGGCCCCCGAGTGTCTTCTTCCAGTTTGCACAAAGGCATCTGATGCTCAGCAGGGGACCTGGGGAAGAACCTTGGCAAGGTGCCTTGCCTTCCCCAGAAAGGACCAACATTAGGATTACAGTCACCTGCCCGTTCTCCCCATGCAAAGGGCTGAGCCAACCTCCCCATCATGCAGGTAAGTAAACAGGCCCAGAGTGGGGAAGTAACATGCCCAAGGCCACAAAGGGCAAATGAGGTACAGGTCTAGGCCCCCGGAGAGCGTTTCCTTTCAGGCCATGGGGTCCTCTTACCAATGTAGCCCCGGGCTCGCACCCAGAACATCTGTTTGGGCTCCATGCTCTGCAGCTGGCTCAGAGTGGGTAGGTTTACCAGCTTGATCTCAATGGGCACCTCCCGGGCAGCAGTTCGGTTCAGCCCCACTCGGTACTTCTCTTGGAGGTTAGGGTCCCTGAAAGTAAAGGGGAGAGGGATGGGGAGACCCAGGAAGATGGGGAGCCTGTCCTCTGAGCCACCTCTTCTGACCCCTCTCATTCCTCCACAGGGACTCCTGACTTATCCCCAAAGCTCCCCTCCCCTCTGGCAGGCAAGACAGGATAGATTTGCATCCTTTCTTTGCCACTTATGAGTCCTCTGGCCTGGTGCAAGTTAGTCATCGCTCAGCCTTTTTCCCATCTGCAAAATGTGGATGACAGTCACCTACCTCATAGTAAATACTGTGGAGGAGACAAGATAAGGCGTATGAAGCCAACACATCATCTAGTCATGCGGTGTACCCTGTGACAGGCCCTGCTCCAGGCATCTCCCACACATGAACTCACCCGTCAACACCTCTGTGAGACCCATGCTGCTCTCACTGATATCTGATAAGTGAAGCAAGCACAGAGGGTGCAGGGAGCCTGCTCAGGAAGTGGAGGGGCGCGGGGTTCGGGCCCAGCCAGCCTGGCTCCTCGGTTCACACTCTTAACCACTTCTCTATTCTAACACTCAGGAAATAGGCTGCCCTACTTGGACTGACTTACCTAACCCTGAGCGACTGGGGACGCTGTGTTCCAGGGAGAGGAGCCCATTTCCAGGGAAGCCCCTTTGCCACAGTAAGGACACCCCTTGTGCCCCTAGGCTCTTCCCCGGTATTTCCGTTTCAATCCCTATCCTTTCGAGCCCTGTCTGACAGAACCTTCTGTGATGATGGTATGGTCTGTGGCTGCCCTGTCCGCTGTGGTAGCCACGAGCCACATGTAGCTGTTGAGGGCTTGAAATGTGGCCAGTGTGACCGAGGACCAGAGCTGAATTATTTCTATTTAATGTTAATTAACTTAATACAGCCACCTGTGGTTAGCGGCTTCCTTATGGGACACACAGCTCTAGATTCAGGGACCTTTAAGAACAATGTCCTCCTTTCATTTCTCAAACATTTTGGAGCTCTGACCGCATACCGGGCTCCGTGCTTATTCCTCTCTGTCAAGAGTGATGTAGCTACAATTTACTGAGCACTCGCTGAGGGCCTTGTTATCTTGTGTAATCCTCACAGCAGCCTTATAAGGTAGAAATTCTGATTGGCACCATTTTACAACTGAGGACACAGGCACAGAGTGGAAAAGCAACTTGCCAAACTCACACAGCTGGCGGGGGCAGAGTCTAGATTTGAACCCAGGCTTTTCCCAGGTGCAGATGCACGTCCGTTCCATCACACCGGGCTGACAGCCCTGACTGCGGCACAAGGCAGCGGGGCTCTCCTTACGATAGAGCTGTGAAGTCTGCAGGGCAAAAGCAGCCATTCCCATGTTTTAGATGAAGAAGCAGGGCTCTGAGAGGCTGGGGAGTCGAGCAAAGCAACACAGCAGGTGGGAAGTGGAGCCCTGGCCCCAATCTATAACCGAGCAGGACCCTGTGGATACCTCTGTCAAGTTTATGATTAACCTCCTTATCTGAACCTTTATTCCTTTTATTGTTCAAAACCTGTTCTCCTCAAGATTGAGGAGGGGAACTATAACGGAGCAGGACCCTATGGGGCCTTCCTGGGACAGGCCCTTCCCCCATATCCTCTGCTTTGCTCTCTGAAGTACCTAGATAACAGTATATGATGCACATTTCCTGAGTTGTTTTACAGATGCTAACCACACCCCCCCAGCCAAATGAAAGATGTTAACTACTTGATGACTGTGAGCGCATAGCCCCAGGCCTCCTGGAGCTTAAGGACTAACAATGTTAACTGCCCTCTTACCTCACCGTCAGCCAATCAGAGAATCGTGCACGAGCTGATCACACACCCTGCGACCCTCCTCCTTTACCTGGCTTTTAAAAATGCTTTGCCAAAACCCTTCAGGGGGAACTTCCCTGGTGGCACAGTGGTTAAGAATCCATCTGCCAGTGCAGGGGACATGGGTTTGATCCCTGGTCTGGGAAGATCCCACATGCTGCGGAGCAACTAGGCCCGTGTGCCACAACTACTGAGCCTGCGCTCTAGAGCCCTTCAGGGAGCTCGGGGTTTTTTAGAGCATAAGCCACCCATCTCCTTGCATGGCCTTGGAATAA